CTCCTGCGAATCCCTTGGACCGCAAGGGATTCGCAGGAGTCTCCTCCAGCACCACCATTCAGAGGCCTCAATCCTTCGGCGCTCAGCCCTCCTTATGGTCCAGCTTTCACAGCCATACATTGCAACTGGGAAAACCATCGCCTTGACTATACGCACTTTTGTTGGCAGGGTGATGTCCTTGCTTTTTAGTATGCTGTCTAGATTTGCCATAGCTTTCCTGCCCAGGAGCAAGCGTCTTTTAATTTCTTGGCTGCAGTCCCCATCTGCGGTGATCTTGGAGCCCAGGAAAATGAAATCTGTCACTACCTCCATTTCTTCCCCATCTATTTGCCCGGAAGTGAGAGGACAGGATGCCATGATCTTGGTTTTCTTAATGCTGAGTTTCAAGCCAACTTTTGCACTCTCCTCCTTCACCCACAGCAAGAGGCTCTTTAGTGCCTCTTCACTTTCTGCCATGAGAGTGGTATCATCTGCATATCCGAGGTTGTTGATATTTCTCCCAGCAATCTTAATTCCAACTGGTGATTCATCTAGCCCCGCCTTTCTCATGATGTGCTCTGCATACAAGTTAAACAGGCAGGGCGACAGTATACAGCCTTACCAAACTCCTTTCTCAATTTTGAACCAATCAGTGGTTCCGTGTCCAGTTCTCACTGTTGCTTCTTGACCAGCATATAGGTTTCTCAAGAGACAAATAAGATGGTCTGGTACTCCCATCTCTTTAAGAACTTGCCACAATTTGTTGTGATCCACACAATCAAAGGCATAGGCAATGAAGCAGAAGTAGATGTTTTTCTGGAACTCCCTCCCTAGCTTTCTCCATGATCCAGCGCATGTTGGCAATTTGATCTCTAGTTCCTCTCCCTCTTCGAAACCCTGCCTGTACTTCTGGTAGTTCTCAGTCCACATACTGCTGGAGCCCAGCTTGTAGGATTTTGAGCATAACTTTGCTAGCATGTGAAATGAGTGCAATGGAGCGGTAGTTTGAGCATTTGTTGGCATTGCCCTTCTTTGGGATCCGAATGTAAACTGACCTTTTCCAATCCTGTGGCCACTGCTGAGTTTTCCAAATTTGCTGGCATATTGAGTGTAGCACTTTTACTGCATCGTCTTTTAGGATTTTGTATAGCTCAGCTGGAATACTGTCTTCTCTAGCTTTGTTGTTGCTCAGACTTCCTAAGGCCCATTTGACTTCGCTTTCCAGGATGTCTGGCTCAAGGTCAGTGACCACCCCATCGTGGTTATCAGGGACGTCAAGCTCTTTCTTGTATAGTTCTTCTGTGTAATCTTGCCACCTCTTCTTAATCTCTTCTGCCTCTGTTAGGTCCCTTCCATTTTGGTCCTTTATCATGTCCATCTTTGCATGAAATGTTCCCTTCATATCTCCAATTTTCTTGACGAGATCTCTGGTCCTCCCTATTCTATTGTTTTCTTCTATTTCTTTGCACTGTTCATTTAAGAAGGCCTTCTTATCTCTTCT